ATCATTGACGTTTACAACAAGGAAATTGATACAAGCAAGTGAAAACAACATCAAAAAGTAACTTGTTTTTCCATCCAAACCAAAGACCACCACTAAGACCCCTAGAGTCAATACCTTTAAAGTAATTAAAACCTAAGTTCCTTAACCGATTAATAACTAAATCCGAACTACTTTTTGTTTCCGATAAGAAAATGAAGTTCGGATCAAAAGACCCAAAAAGCCTTTTAAGTTTTGGAATTATCGGTGTTGTTGGGATTTTAATACCCCGACAATTCCAAACAAGCCAATCACTATGGGAGAGGTGGTTGGATCGGGTCAACCATCGCAAGCCCATCACCTGCATAAGTTAGCAAAATGCAAGCATCGAAATTGAAGATCAGACGACATCTTGGGGTCCATCGTGAGCAGGCCCTTTACCCTTCTTCTTCCTTCTAGTCAATAAGGAATCCGCGTCATCCTTGCAATCCTCTATAAATTGCACTGAAGCTAGTTCCAGATCTGAGATTGCGTTTCTTTTTAAAGGACAATTCTCTGGTTTGAATCGTCTCCTCTCTTTTCCTTTCTTAAAGCGTTTGCTCTTCATTTTTTATCCCCCTTCTATCTCTCTCACCCCACCTAGTAAAGATAACAGCACTGTCAGACATGGTTTCAGTTGGAGAAATTGAATCCAACTCCCTGTTTCCAGAAATAACAATTCCTAATCTTTCAATTTGGGGTAGATCTGCTTGTTGTTGTGATCGGGTTGTGCCTCCATACTATTTTCTTCTAGTTGAGCGTCCTCATTCACAGCAATTTCAAACTCCCCAGCCCATGGGTTTAGTGGGTTCTCAGGGATTTGTCCCGCCAGAAAGCCGTCTTCATCTTCCTCCCCTTGAAAATCCATCAGTTCATACACCCCGGTGAATCCGGTTCCCTAATTTCCATCGCTCTCGGATTATTTTGACTATCAAATTCCACGAAAAACCGCTGATTGTAGCCTGAATTATCCACCCTTCTAGCTGCGATTTCGTCACTCGACTGAACTCTCAATTGTATTGCCGAGCTCATAAGGACATCGTACCTAATTCGCTCAATCTCAGGCCCATAGTGAGGCACTGGCTCAATCAGATCTTCGTTAGCTCCTTGTTGCTCACTAGTGCTCTGTCCCTGAACCGCCATAGCCGCGACCTGATAAGGGTCTTCTTCCCCTAAGTTTAATTGATTGACACCAGCAGAAGCGCTCGTTGCTCCTTGATTACCTTCAGCATCCATATCCGAGTTGAGACCAACTTCTCCACCTTCCACGTCCATAGATGCCGTAACATTTTGACCAGCATTTTGCGCTGGTGGTGGCTCCAGACCACCTGCCGCTCCTTGAACCACCGCCTGGCCGACTACCGGACCTCTGAACGGAGCACCCATACTGTTAAATTGCTGCCCTGGTTGGACTGTTCTCCCACCATTTTAAATTCCAAGGTCAAAGTCCACCAAGATATCAAGTGCTCTGAAATTTGGTGAAGGCGGCCTGACTAGTTCGTCCACCAGCCTCACCCTTGTGGTAATGGTGCGTTCCGACGAAGGAGTAGCTCTCAAATCCAATGTGAACATCAAGAAGCCCTCCTCTGTTTCCATTGTTGGGATACCCCTAGAGAGGTATTCCATCATCTTGTGATCTATGTCAATTTTGATGAGGTCCTCGTGCCTCGTGCATCTTGTGTACTTGTGTCCAATTCTGCCACACCTTGTGCAGTACTTGAATAAATTTTCGTACCTCAATTGAATCCATATGATAGCATCATCATCAAGCTTTAGAAAAAAAAACCCGGGATTAGTGGTTCTCCCAAGTTGATCATCACATTAATCCGTAGATAATCATTTCTCGGCACCAAGTTTGGTTCCAAATCTACTTCGAAAGGCATTCCTAGCATTTCCCCTATTGTTTCCTCCATGTGTGAGTTGAGGTACTCACATGGTAGACCGCAAATTCTAACCCAGAACTTTGCCCTTCTAAATCGAACCGTTTGAGGTACTTGGTTAGGCCACCATGGCGAAAAAACCATTAGTGCCCCATCGAAGCATGCCTTAGTCATGGCAAGCATTTCTCTCTTGTCCTCGTCATTAGAACACTTCATGCCTTAGTCATGGCAAGCATTTCTCTCTTGTCCGCAAATAATATGTTGAAGGATTCTCGTACTATGGTAGTTATTTTAACTTCATATGACGGTTTTTGCTTCCAAATATGACAGTTCCACATGACGGTTTTCATTTGAAAAAATGATAGTTATTCGCGTGAGTGGGCAGTTATTCGCATAAGCGGGCTGCTATGTTTGGACGGTTACCTTCGAAAATTAAGGACGGTTTTCTTATGTTCGTTGATATCCATTTGCTTTGGTATATATATATATATGTTCTTGGGAACATATGTGTCAGTGACTTTTCAAGAAGAAAAAACTTGTTTCCTTATTTTTCTTTCTTGAGAAAACCGATTGCAATATTAAAGTTGTCATCATCATAATTTCATAATTTGTTTTTACATTTTAACCACAAATATACTACACACTATTGTGGTTATCTTCGTTGTATCTCCTAGTAATTTCGTGATACCCGGTGTGTATACAAGGGTCAAAATATTACTTTGGGAAACTGATTTCGTTCAGGCCTCAAAGTGTTAATTTGTTCAATTTTGTGTCATTTTTGTGACCCGATAAACCAATTCCCCCAACAATCTATCCCCCTCGAATATCATGTGTTTCTCTCTCCTCCCCTACCACCACCGTTGTCAAAACTGCCCTCTCTTCTCCCTCCTCCTCCTCCTTCCAAAGTACAACCACCACCTCCACACCGCCTCTTACCTCACGCACCCCTTCTCTTTATCCCTGCTTCGTCTCTAATTTATTTATTTATTTATTTATTTATTTATTTATTTTATTATTATTATTATTATTATAAATCTCAAAAACATACAAAGTTATACAACCTATAGAAAATTAGTGGGAAGCCGAGATACAATCAGAGCTCCCACTCCTTTAGCTATTGAAAAGCCGATCCTAGTAAAGATATGAGCTGCAGCACGCGCCCCAATATCCTGAATCTTCGAAAACTTCTGGATCCGCTTTAGCAATGCAACAGTCTCCTTTTCTAACTCCCCAAGAGAAGAGAAAGAGAAAGGAAGGAAGCCACATCCTATTGCTCGACAACTAGATTTGTATTATTATTTTATTTTATTTTTATTTTTTTTTTTGTGTTTCAATTCTTCACCACCATTAAAGTTCTCAAGTGTGAGGTTTTGATGGTTAAATTTAACCACCAAAACTCTATATCTAGAGTTTTTATTGTTAAATTTAACCAAATAAAACCATAATTGAAAGTTTGAAAGGTAAGTTAGGGGTTTAAAATTTAAGGGTCGTTTTGGGTTCGTGTTGGTGGTGGTCCGTGGTGAGTAAGGGTGGTGTTGACAGATTTTGATGGGTGCAGGGTGGTTATTTGATGTTCGTTGTGAATGGGGGTGGTGGATGGTGGAAGTTTTGATGGTGGTGAGCTGAAGTTTGTGATGTTCTTATGTTTTGGTGGGTGAGGATGGTGGAAGCGGCAGTGGTGACGAGCTAGTCATTGCGTGACTGCTGCCGATCGGTGGTGATGGTGTCTTAAGTGGTGATGTTGGTGTGTTGAGGTGGTTGTAGGTGCTATTAATGGTGGCCAAAGGTGTATGTGGTGGTTGTTTTTGGTATAAGGTGGTTAAGGGTGGTCAAAACGGGAAATAAAAAAAAAGGAAATAAAAAAATTTGACATGTTGCTTAGGTAGCAAGTCATTTGGGTGTGATATGGGAAGATAGTGGTAAAAGGTTGGATTATTCTGGAATAACCCAAAGGTTGGTTTATTTTGGGAGAATGGAGCAAAGGTTGGTTTATTAAAAGTAATTTTTCCTTATTAATATCTAATTTTTATTGAATGACATGTAATATGGTAATAGCTTAGTGACTAACACGTTGAAATTTAAACTTGAGGTCGTGGGTTCAAATCTTGTAAGAACCACATTTTTAGACATGGAGTAAAAATCGGATTAAATGAAGAGAGCACTACGTGGAACCTTTTAAACTTATTTAGAAACGCCTTTTAATATATGCTATAGATTAATAGCATATCCATAAAATAAAGGAAAAATTAGAAAAAATAATCTCAACTTTCATCAATTTTGGTAGAATAATCCCAACTTTAGATTATTCTGGAATAATCCGAACTTTAGGGGGTATTTTTTTTCTTCAATCCCAAACCGGTCAACAAAAGTCAATGACCTGTTGTAACAGGTTATGTGTCACGTGTCAAGCTGCAATTGGTCCAAAAAAAAAGTAAAAAAATTAATTTAAATAAAAAAAACAAGAAACCCCTTATTCTCCTACCTGACCACCGTAACCCCCACCCCACCACCTGCATCGCCGGCCGCGCCTACTCTTCCCTTCCCCTGCCCCAACGGTGCGCCGCTTTCTCCTTAAACCCCCTGTGTCGGCTCTACGACCCACTTTCACCCACAAGTCCCTCATTTTCGAATCCTCCCCCACTCGAAAACCCCCAAAACCCACTTTCTCACCGTCGAAAACCCTAGCGCCTTGGGTTTTCGATGATGGGGGAAGGGTATTTGGGGGTTTTCGGGAGTTGGGGACAGTTTGGAAGGGGGTTTCGAGCGGCACAGGGGGAGGGAAGAGTAAAAGCGGCCGCATGAGATAAGGTTAAGGGTGGTCCTATTTGGTTTGGGTGGTGGTTTTTTTCTTTTTTTTCTTTAATTTTTTTTTTAATTTTTTTCTGTCTTAATTTTTTTAACCAATAAACGCGTGACACGTGTCATTTAAAAAAATAATAATAAACCCATTCAACCGGTAACTGGTATTTGGGATTGAAGAAAAAGAATACCCCTTAAAGTTCGAATTATTCCAAAATAATCTAAAGTTGGGATTATTCTACCAAAATTGATGAAAGTTTGGATTATTTTTTCTAATTTTTCCTAAAATAAAAATGAGAGTGGGGATAGTGAAGTGGTTAGAGCTTCCTTTTGTCTTCTACGAGAAACAATTTGTTCACCATCATCAGGTTACTCAAATTTGATTTTCTTCAATTACTTCATCAATTTAACTTTATTTATGCGTTTGACTCGATTTCTTCGTTTTATTTTGATTGATTTTAACTATGAAATTGATTCAATTGGGTTCTTCGAATTCATTTATTTGCCATCCAAACTCTTATTTGCAATTCAATTTGAATTTCTCTTTTACCTTCGGTTCCCTAATTAATTCCTTATTCTGATTTCTTGTTGTTTTGCCTGAAGGTTTATTTGACTATAAACAATTTTACGTTTTTGCTCTGAATTATGCAGTGATTAAGTTTTCATTTTGCCTTTTGTTATCTCCTAGTGTAACGCCATGAATATGATGTCTGAGAGATCCTCACTGTATTCCAATCCGATGGGGTGTTATTACGCTGGTGATCCGATCTATATTCCACCTCTACATCATCGATTCCCCGAGATAACCGGGACTTACTCAATCGACGCTGGTTTTGATCAATCTCCAGACTTGAAAAGTTTGTAATTGATTCTTTCCCTTGTGTTAATTTAGTTGCTGACTGTATATTGATCATTATTTCAATGTTTATTACGTTGCAGAAATTTACGATCACTATACCAAAGGAAAACCTTCCGTTTCACAATTGTCCCCTAAAGGTGGTGCTATAGAAATTTATTGTTTATGTTTTCCTTAAACAATTTATATTATATTGCTATAGTAATTGTTTTGTACCTTATGATTTTGGTTTATGTCATGAGATGTGTCAAAGTTTTATATTTATCCGACACGACTTATTGGATTCAGGCTTTGATTGAATTGTTATGTATGGTTACTAAATATTTATTTTTTCTTCTTTATAATGACATTAATTATCATTATCAAGTAGGGCAAAGTAAAGTTGATTAATACTGATTTCTTGTCCTAGGTGTTGCTAGAACAATCGATTGCTCTGGACTTGTAATTGAATGGGATGCGACTAAAAATGAGGCAGTTATTTTGACTTCGGCAAAACTTCTTTTGAGTTCTGTCCATGAAACTCGAGAAAATTATGTATGTTAATGGTCATTTGTTGCAATATTTTCTGTTAAATGAATTAGACTTTTAAGTAATGTCTCTGTTTTTTTTTTTTTTTTCCCTAGATCATTGTAAGGCTGGCAGATGGAACTTTATTACTTGGGAAGGAAGATTATGTTGATTATTATCACAACCTTCTCACCCTCAGGGTTAAGTCAACAATGAAAATTAAAGCGGTAGACTTGAGGTCTAAGCAAGTTGATTGGGATGATCTAGTCGATGGAATGAAAGTGACAGCATTAGGTCGTATGTTTCCCTTCTGTAGCTTGTTTGACCATGGCGGTGACTTACATTTACAATACCCTTACTTTGGTTGTGGAGAACTTCTGAGCTCTTCTTGCGATGTTTATCAGGTATTCTCTTTATTCTTTTTATTTGATGTATTATTTGGAGCAGTTTTTTATTAGCTTAATTTGTTTTAATTATATTTATGCACTATTAGATGAGAATATTACATGTTGATTTGCATAGTGAATAAAGAAGCACTTGGGGTTATCAATTTGATTTAATAGTGATATTTCAAGTTTGTTTACAAGCATATATTAATCTCATGGACTTAAAGTTGCATTGATGTTTTTATGTTTATTATTATAAAGTTAAAACTCTAGAGAATTGTATTCAAACTCACAAGCTTGAATTTTTTCAACGATGACTTGTTCTTATCCGGTTATTGTTTTAGTAGCAGTAATATTTTTATGTGTTGACCAAAAAAAATATTAAACAGGGTATTGAAGGAGGACCACTTATCACTGATGATGGATTTGTGGTTGGGATTAACTTTCTCGATAACTACGGTTTTGGCAATCCACTTCCTACTCCAATTATCCTAGCTAGCTTGGATTTGTGGAAGTCTTATAGGTATGATTTATAATGTCGTCTCATATGTCAATTTTTATGATCAATTCCTTTTGTGTCTACCAAAAAATGTCTTATCTGTTGTTTCTTCCTTTCCACTGTGTTAGTATATTGCATGAATTTTTCTAATCTTCTTAGTTAAAACATGTGTGTATGATTTGTAGTAGTTATAGAGATCTTTGTGTAAAAGGTCCAACATGTTTCATTAATCTTTAGGTTTTGAATTGATTGATTGAGTACCAAGTGGGTTTCAAATTTTTAATTTCGTCTCACGATTGTTTGCCTATCACTTACCTGCCAAAAGTTGAGATCAATCAATCAAAGCTTGAATCTATATGAACCAAGCAAAAAGATTATTCCATGCGATCATCAATAAAGATTCTCCTCCTTTATCCCTTATGATCCAAAACCTCATCCTCAAGCAAATCCATTTGCTTCATATCTTTCCAAAGTCTTTCCAGCCATGTTATCTTCAGTCTCCCTCGACCTATTAAGCTCCTTGCGATCCTCCCATCTTAACATGTTTCTTCTTAGAAGCCCACCATTTTGTACCATATAGTAACACTATTCTTATAGCTGTCCTATAGAATTTCTTCTTCAACTTTAAAGGGATGCTTTGATCACACAACAGTACAACGCGCTAGTTGTTGTTATCCATTTAAGCCAAAAGTTGAGATCACCAATGAAATTTAGTCGTGACTAAAGCGTGCTTACTCATCTTTGTTGGAGATAGATTTGATTTTTGTGGTCTTGCACTATGAAGAAAGAGAACAGCAAGAGAAAGGGATTAAAGATTAAAAGTACAAAGAGAATTTGAGCATGCTTAATTGTATTTATTTCTATTGCAGGACTGTTGTGCGACCGTGGTTTGGATTTAGCGTGGTTGACTTGCATCAATTGCCTCCTGATGTATGGGAAAGATTTAATGTATCCCCAACTGACTCATATGTTGTTGTCAAAGAGGTGATTAGATGTTTCAATGGTCTCCATATTCTAGTTGTATAATTAAATTTTATTTGCATATCCTGAATGCTGTGAAGGGTGTTATTTCAATATCAGGTATATAAAGGTTCAATTGCTTATGAAAAAGGTGTATGCCCTGGTGATTTAATTGCTACCTGTAATGGAATTGCGATACATTCTGCCAAGCAGGTATGATATTTATGAGCCATTGATATATATAGATGTAAAAGTACAGTTTTAAATCATGGCAGTCATCTTGTTCTCTGTCGAAGTCCTTTTAAAAAGCAACATAATCAACACAAATTTTTCCAATTTTTAGCTTTTTTTACATCTTTGGATCCATTCATATTATTCCACTAGAGGGCCTTGTTGAAAAATAGTAAAAATATCCTTTGTTTCAACTTTTTAATGCATATCATACATGAGCAAGATCTTTCCGTAAATGGTTAGGTACTTGGTGATCATCAGAGGGATGGGAATGAACACAGAAATATTTTTTGCTTCGTCCACTTGTTTGCCATGGTTCAGAATTTTGGATTATAGGAAGTGACTTGTTCATATAAAATATTACAAATTCTGAAGGACAAATAATATCATTGGGTTTCTGCAGTTTTAAGCTGTGTGCTATCTAATTAATGTTCTTTATCCTTGGCAGTATTTCCAGCTATTGTTCGACAGATCCTGTGTGGTGACTGCTAGTGGTGACTCTAATATGGTTGATGAAAGTTTCAAAGTGAGTATGATTACTCTATTGTTCAGCCTTGCATTTCTAGTCAGCATGTTAGCGATATCTTAAATTTGCATCAGGTTGTTATTCAATCAAATGGCGGTCATATTGGTGAAATTAGCATCGAAGCTGATAATGTAGCTGTTGATGACAAGAGGTTTTGTTTGGTTAGGGATGTGTTTTGTTTTTTGGTTGTCCTATAACAAACAATTATTGTTTTGCTTTCAGCTGGCCTTGTTCAGGAGCTGAGTGGGCATCCAACAAAATTGGATCTCAAAGAAATGAACATGGTAATTTTGTCACAAGGGTGGGAGGAAAAAAGGAATATTTTTCGTGAATGAACATGGTAATCTGAAAGAAGTATATGTGGTATAGGGCACTTTGTAGTCAGTTTGTAAGATGTAATTATTCTGTGATACTACTAAGTACTAACAACGTGTAATTAGAATTACTGTAGTTGTCAATATCATATACTCTTGTAATCACTATGATGCTCATAATCAATGCAAATTATCATCAACAATAACTTCCCTCAATAATTCTGTCCGATCCATTCTCTATATGCATGGTACTCGTATCATATTCCTTGATCCTAAAGACTCACTCCCTTTCTATTTTCGGTTTTTTCACCACTTCTTCAATGGCACCTCAAGTACTTGCTGTGAATGCTACTATCTAATAACTGATTAAGAATTATTTTAAAATCATTTACAAGTAAGTACATTGCAAATAGATGGGTAGAATTTTTGTGAAGACCGTGCCATGCACGAGCCTAACCAAGTTAATAAATAATTGTAACTCTTTATTAATATTTTAAGATGGACTTAAACTATTAAACATTTCAATAAAATTAACCCTATCAACTTTTTCTTAAATGTTGTGTCTATTAACACGTGTTAATTATTACAGATCAAAAAGAGCATGGTCTATCTTACTTGTCATTTCTAAGATACATCCTCTGCTTTTGAATCAGTTTAAATTTTTGAATAAAAAAATCTAAAGAAAAAAAAGAGGAAGTAAGCAAATATTTGCATGTATGAAAGAGTTTTTCGTTTTTTTTAAATAAAAAAAAAAAAAGTTTTTGATAGGATTAACTTGTACACCCACATGGCCACATATTAGCAGTAATCATATTTCCGGTTTTGAAGCTCTTTGTTGCTTCTTAATAACAAGATACCTTAGTTGTGTCGGGCTAACTACCTTTTAGTAACGCTTGAATTTCTCTCTCTAGATCTCTAGAGCATCTCTCTCTACTCTTTCCCCTGCCAACCTTTACCCCCTTTGTTTTCTTCAATTTTCTTTATCATCTTCTTCCCTACCCCCCCCCCCCCCCCCCCCCCCCTTCTCGTGCTTGCTCAGGCCTGAATGGCTGACTTAGAGGACTTCACTCCTCCGAACAGTAACCCGTTCTCTTTCTCAAATATAAGACAAATGGGCCCAGTCATCCGTCCAACAACTGATGAATAGATAACTAACACCAAAATTGGAAAAAATGCACATTTCTCAACTATGGGGTTCAGCAGCTAGCTGGATACACTGCATTCAGATAGCGAAAGAGAGAAAACGATTCAATGGCCAGGGAACTTGGGAGCTTTTAGGAAACTCGAACATCATTTTCAAGGTAACTTATACAAGCAAAATTAGCATTATCTACAAACTTTACAATGGTAGCTGAATAGATAACTAACACCAAAATTGGAAAAAATGCACATTTATCAATCCCCTGATAGCCAGACAACAAATTACACAGCTACTTAAACCAATTCACTTGCATTAAACATCAAACTAGACGCAACAACTGCACAAAAACATGAAACTAAAATCCTTAATAATTTAACAATGAATACTTCACTCTCAAAACAATCTTCCCTTTCTCAATACCCAGTTTTCCACCCGTTACCAACCAATGACCAGGGAGATCTTCTGGGCCCTTCATCATTTCTGACATGTCAACGAATTTGACCAACTTGTTGCCGTTGACACTTTCCGATGAGCCTGAACTTGACACACCAGAAGTGCTTTCTGAACCACCCGATTTCTTGGGTTTTTCTGCTGGAGAATGATCCCACAATGACCTCCTTATGGTGCATTCTGGAAGCCTAGAGTAAAGGAGTTTCATGTACAAGACATTTCTTGATCCAAAATCCCACACTCCGAGCTGAGCTCCTGTGACAATGTGGACTCCAGAAAGCTCTCCAGCAAAAGTCTCAGGGCTCTCGATGGGAGCAGTACTCACATGAGAAAAGTTCTTCCATTTCACAGGTTCAAACCACCGACTATCTTGTTCCTCAGGTCCACGCCATTTGGGTGCACCAATTGCTACATGAGAGTCCCAATATGGAACCATGATTTTTGGGAGAGATGCCAGGTGCTGAAGATGAATACATAATCGGTTCTGCTTGGCTCCATCTAAAAATAATCTTAGTCCAGTTACAGGTTTACGCCCTACAGGAACCTGCATATACGAAATACAAAGACATGAGATGGAAACACAAAAACACAACAGAAAGCACTGGATACATTGAGTAGGCCAGTTTAAACTGGACCCAAACAAACTCCTCTTCTCCAAACAATATTTGGGTAGAGAGGAAATGCAACTTTTAGCTGTGATTTATGAACCAGAGCTAATGATTGGAAAATAAGTGTTCTCGTTATTTGTAGGACAATAAGAAACTTCGGGCAAAACTATCTCCTTTCAATGGATAAATAATTCTCAGTTTTCAGCCCCTTAACTCTTCATCTCGCTCTCATTTAGATATGTGTGATATGTATTCAATCCTCAATGCACAATAATAAGTTTCTAACCCCATAATAAACCCCCTTCATCCGCCAATATAATTAACATCGTGGAATTAAAGGCTAACTAACTCATCCAATGAAGTGAGAAATTTTGCCCATGTGTTGAGAGGAGATCAAGACTACTTGCCAAGTAAGAGATGATAAGTTTAGTTTTAAAAAGAACTAGAAGGAAAGTGTACAAGATATCGGCAAAAAGATGAATTATAAAACTATACAAAAATATTTTTCCCGTGTTATAAAACCGGCTTCTATTGTCTAAGTTAAAAAAAAATTAGGTCTGGAACATAAAATTTTGATATTATGGACCCATCAAACAGATTACACCAAATTGAACTTGAATAAAATGTCTTCCATGATCCAGGAAAGACTCAATGAAATCATTAGCCACCGACCAGTTCCAAAATTTCCAAGGTTAAGGAAGAAGCAACACAGGCAAATAGTAGTCTTGATATATATCTAGGCAAGCATATAAATATGCAGAAACATGTAAGTAAATGCAAAGTTACCTGCTCTTGGCTAACATAAAGCTTCTGCCCCATTAAACTAAACTGCAAAGATGGACACACAGGTTCCTTTCGTTGATGACCGGGATGTCTATCGTGCATAGGGGCCCATACCCGGGGTATTTGAAACTCCAAGAAATATCTTAACTCCTCAATCGGAGGTTTGTCTGCAAATATAGTTAATTACATGAATAATCTTGTAAACTGAAAAACCTAATTATTATATGTTCATGCTGAAACAGACTTCATCAAATACGGTGACAGCTTACATTCCAGATAGAGATTAATTGCTCGGCTGAGGTGTTCTTTTCTTGCTAAATCTTTAATCAGATCAGTTATCGGGACAAAGGCCATCTCAATGATATCTGGAGAAGAATGCACAGTCATAAGCCATTGTTTGTGACTTTGCTCCAGATCATCACCTCCCCTCCGCCTAAAAATGACAGTGATATCCTGCATGACCAGTTGCACGAAGGAATTAGGATGTAACAAAATATAGAGTATAAAACTCATGTCAGCACTCACAAAGACAAAAATAAGAACAAGGGAATTTTCAAATAGTACCCTGTGGACCGTATATCTACAGTTTCAGAAAAACACCAAGTACCTATTAAGTAAATTTTAAGTCCCAAATTAAGGAGATAAAGCTACTCAAAATCACAATTTTTATTTACATTAAAAATTGGCCCCAAAGTAGCATTATTGTCTCAATTGTGATACTAAATCTCAGCCCTGGTATAAATTCCTATAGAAAATACAGAAATAATAATAACAAAGGAATGTCGTGCTAATTTCCAGAGTAAGCTACATATGTTCCACACACACATGGATTTCATTATAAGTAAGCATTGAAGTCCTTACTTCTTTTCCATTAAGAGATGGAACATTTGCCGGTTGCGGATATATTCCTTGGCTGTTGAACAAGCTTGAATCTCCAACCTGTAACAACAATCGGAAGAAAGCAAGCATGAGAACTGAGTCAAAATATGAAAGCTCACACTAATGGAGACAACCAATAGAAGAAACATTCTGAGACTAGCCTTATCCTTTACTCTAATTGGACCTGAACTTGTACGAGGGTCGGTTTGCATAAACCTCTGGTTTCCAATCTCTTGAACATAGTTCTTCATTTCCATGGCAGATAAAGGTGATGATTGATGCTGTTTAACATATACTACATCTTTACCACCGATGGTAATGGATGTAATAACATGTGTCCCAAAGTTTTCAATAAAACTGGTGGAAATAAAAATAAAAAAAAAAAGTTATTATAAGCAATAAGTGGCATCACAAATATAAAGTAATACAACCCAGAAATTTGTTTAAAAATACCACAGGAGTTCAGTGAACACTCATACCTAGCTAATGAAGGCGGATCCCATGAAGTAGGGATAGCCCTGATGACATTCTCCTGTAGAACCCATGAAGACTTAGCAAGCTGAAATTTGGCAAGTGGGATGACAAACCCTTCCACTGATAAGGATTTAGTGGATGTTGCATCAATGTGCTTCGAACCAGTAAAATTAAATGCAGAATTGAAACTTCCAAGAGGAATGTCAGCCATTAGCTCAGCTTTTTTATTAAAGTGCTTCACCATCTGATGCAATAGCCATGAGAGATGAATTAGAATGACAAAACAATTACATTGAGATAACATGCCACAAGCTGACAGGGGTGAAAAGGGGAACTCTCTGCAGAGCCAAACAGGGGAAACTTGTAAATGTAAACCTTTTTTTTTTTCTTAAGAAATTCCCTACAGTTATAGGTATCTAGTAACAAAACTACCACTCCCAATACTATAGATTCCAAGAATCAAGGCTTCCAAGTAGAAAGTAGACAAGTCACAAACCAAGAAGATAAAGGTTTCATATAATCCTATACTATGTATTTTGATGTGACCCTAATATGGTCCAGATAACCAAAGCTACAATCAGATCAGCTACAGGTAGCAATGCAATCTTTCATGATCATTATCTAATGCCTTTAACTTAACAGTCAACCGAACACGACAATATTTCAAACATTTAACTGATTCTGAGTCACGTCATCCTTTTCTTGACACCCTTGCAGACCAACATTACACCCCTTACTAAAAGTACGGTCAACTTTAATCTTGTCATCAAGCATTCATAATATTGCTCGACAATTCACATTTAAATTCAGTAAGTTTCATATGCATGGAACTCCAAAGCCAATGAATGTAACTTGATGGCATTTAGCAAAACTTTCCATGGTTGAGCAATCATTTCCCGTGTATCTGCAACAAACTACCACTTCTCATACTACAAAGAATTGCATAAGAATCAATTTTCTCTTAGATACATAAATATCATCCCTCACAAGCGTTACCTAGGTGTAAAGACACCCTCCAGCTTCCACTTCCACTTCCCATTCCGATTCTTACCCCTTCCTTGCATATTGAGATGTCCTTCAGCTTCCTTAAATAGCCAAAGGGGAACAGTGAATCTCCTGAATGTTACTGATCAAGCACTGCAAGGAGCCTAATAGTAAGCGGGAGATGCAAGATGAACTTTTCCTAGATAACGATCCACTTTACCAGTATCCCACTTTTCAGCTTCTGAACAGGAGAAGTTTTCCAGTCTCTCAAATTTCAGCCTTCGTTGATTGAAGTTCTAATGTCCAAAACTTCTTACAGGACCAACCATGAGTAGCATAAACTCTACATGCACAATGATGCAGTATGAATTACCATCCCACTTCAAGCAAATGCACCGTCTTATAAGCTCAATTTATACTTCCATTTACAACGGAACTGAGCTTGCGAGTAGCCTAACTCAATCATTCAACCCTTAGCTCAGGATTGAAAACACAAATAACAAATATTCCAACGACAATAGATGTTCATTGAACTAGAAAACGCAAGACGGAGAATGGATAGGATCCAACCTCTCAAGCCATACATAGAAATCATTATAATAAACTTTCTAAACCAAAACAGCAATAGCCTTTGATGTTTGATGATAATGGCACAAAATTATAGGTAAAACCCAAAATCCACATAAATGCTCTCTAATTAAGGTTACATACACCTATAATACAACAATCATCACCAGAACAATAAAATTTGTAAAATTTCAGATAATAAGAAAAATAAAACCAATTTAGATGATCAACACTAATTATTTGCAAAAACAACCAAATCCCACAAACCACAACAAGAAAAAAAACAAACACACACACACAATGGATGTCAGCTCGCTTAGTTGGTAAAAGACTTGCCCAAGACCTAGGATCAAATCCCTATATATAAGAATAACAAAAAGAAACAAACATCTAAAATCGACTCCTTGAAGAGTAGAGATATTATAGAGCATTACCTCATCATAAGAGCAAACACTAAAACTCTCCCGACCTTCGTGGAAGTGTTCAGTTTTGATAGACCTAGGAACATTAGGGATAATCATATGATTAGACAACCTTAAATCCCAAGTGGTTTCTTCATCAATTTGGAGAATCCTAGACCCAGCAGTTCCTTTGCAATACAACAACCTCGTATCAAAGTTCAAATCAAAACCTCTTCCTAAAGCTTCAATTGCATTAATAGCTGTATGCAAAGCTGCTTCATTTCCATCCATTTAAGCTTAAACCCAAAACCCCAAAAAAATTAAAATTTAAAAAATTAAGATGAAATCTGTCAAATTTAAAGGAAACCCAGAAAAATTAATGGGTCATATTGAATACCCAAAACCCTAATTAATTAGGGATTTTTGAAGAAACCCAGAAATTGGTAAGAAAATAAAAGGGAAATTAGGTCCCAATCTCAAAACTTCAATTGGGTATTTGGTGCAGAAATTTCCTACGAAATTCATGACCAAATTCAAAGTAACCCAGTTTCAATTTCCAAGTAAAGAAGCTTTATAGTTGACCCTCTACAAAATTAAAATAAGACATTTTTCAAAAATGATACGGAGGAATTTCGATGAAAACTTGCTCAAAACCTGTTTCTCACTAATCTAGATCTTGAATCCCAATTCATTTGAAGCAAGTTTCTTTCTTTTTGTTTTGGTTTGTTTGTTTGATAGTTTTCTCTCTCTAAAATCTGGAAGAAGCTGTGCTGTGAAGTGTTTCTCTCTCCACGATTGTTGTTAAAGTTGTCCAAATTAAACATTGACTTGTCTAGTCCACTAAACTACCACTACTCCTACGATTGACTGACTGACTCACAGACTCAGTATTACTGTTACATTACTAACTTGTCCTAAACTCCTAAGATATCACTTGCTGTGCTATGTCTAGGGGTGGGACTTTTCAAACCGAACCGTGAAACCGCCCGTTACCGAACCGAACCATCACGGACCGATCCGTTTATAAACCGATAAATATAAACCGAAAACCGAACTGAACCGTTCAATATCAAACCGAAACCGAATTAAACCGCTCAATGTCAACCCGTTACGGACCGTAAACCGATAACAAACCAAACTGCGCAAATCCGAACCGAAACGAAACCGAACCGAATGGTTTATAAACCCGTTAATGACCCGAACCGTTTATAAACCGAAACCGTTTAAACCGAAAAAAAAAACCGTTTAAACCGAACCATTTGTAACCCGCTAACCGTTTAAACCGACCCGTTTATGAACCGAAACCGTTTAAACCGAACCGTTATAATCCGCTAACCTGTTTAAACTGATCCGATTACAAACTGCTTAATTCAAATTGAATTATTTACAACCTAAATGGCTAAATAGTAAATACAATTAATGTTAATAAATGTAGATCTAATCAAACGGCTTAGGTTTATACAAAGGTTTATATTACCTAGATCTAGGCCAACGACATTATTAATATCGTTTTAGATTACTTATTTATTTTAATTACAAGATATATCATTTGTATCATTTTCATTCCAGTAATAATGCTAGTCCACCCAAATTATCTTCATTGTTTCTTGATATTCATGATCATCCAATATCACTCAAAGCCTCAAAGGTAACATAAGATTGGAGATGTATGAGATTGCGTTACACAAGTGGCATAAGCATTAGAATATTACTGTACTAGTCAATAAGGCGTACAATCATTCACATTATCACTTTATAAAACTTTCTTATACAAGTATTTTGTAAAGGGGAGGACTAAAATGTTTATAAAACACATTTTTTAGCTTTTCTTAAATTAAACCAGATATTAAGTAAAAGAATTTTAATAAATACGGAGGCATCCCAAATCTGTAGCCACAATTATTTCATAACATTACCACAAATCCAGCAGATAAATAGCATTAAAATTAGAGTAATATCAACAAGCAATTAAAAAAAGTCACCATTTTCATTGATTAAAATTCACAATACATATACCAATTAATGAAACTACTATCACTACTACCCAGATTAGATTTCATATTTATCAACTGAAATATCATCAAGTTTAGGGTTGCAAAAAAATGATACATGATAAGATGAAGGGAGGAGTGAGAATGTGAGTGATTTGGGAGCAAAATCTTGAAGTAGAATCTTGAAGCAGCAGCACAACACCCAAGAGCAGAGGAAATAGCAGCAACAAGCAGGAACCAGCACACGCAATAACAGATCAGCAACTTATCAGAAGCAAGGAATAATATAAGCAGAAGGGACTCAGCAGGAACTTATTTTTGTTTTTCAAAATTGCTCTCAGATTTACGTTTATCGTATCATCACTGAGCAATGGCTGTTTTAACTTAAAACTTGAAAAATGCTGCCAGCAAGTACATATACATTGAAGTCTCAACATAAATGACAAGGGCAACGATGATTCAAGAAAAATTAAAACAGCAAGCATAAGAAACAGCAGAATAAGATTAGCAGAATGGGGACTTATTGAAGAAATTGTGTAGCTTCTAGATAATACAATTAAGCACCTAAGAGAAAACAAATATTGTAGTTAATTAGAGAAAATAAGTTAACTCAATGCAAATGCACATCTGTAGTGCTACAATAAGTAAAATGAACCAAATTAAGAAAACATAAGTTGTTCCTTCAACAACAACAACACCAACAACAAAAAATAAAATAAAATTAATCCACTCTCAAAACAGCTAGCATCAATGTAAATGCCAAAACTAATTCTCATTCAACAACACATCACAACATTTACTGATTACTATGGCCACTCTTCATTAGTATCCTGCTCACAGCTGCCAAAATACTCCTCGTCCTTTTACCACCCCCCTAATTCCTTATTCAACAGAAATGTCAATATATTTCGATAAGAATTCTCTAAAAGACTAGAAAGTTGCACTAGCTAAGTGAAACAAACGTGTCTACTCATTTGAGGTGAACCAGAGTAATCCTTCTCCCCTTCAAACCAATTAATCACATGAATTATGTTCACACAGACAAAACCGTAACCCGTTAATCGCATAAAAATTGCAACCAAATCAACCAACACAACACAACACAACCATAATTCAATTCCCCTCCCTGTGAAAATCAAGATCTAGCGACTATACATTGCAAAACAACCAACATAACACAACCATAATACAAATACCAAATCTACAAAAAAAAAAAAAAAAAAAAAAATTTACGTATAAAAAAAAAATCACAAAATATACATTGCAAAACAAAAAATGAACAAAAGAACTAGAACTTTCAAAAAAAAAATTCAGAAATTATAATTTACAAAATAATAAATGAAAAAACAGAACTTAGAAAAAATAATAGGAACTTAGAATGAGAATGAAAAATACAAATACCTTATATCGTCCGTGAGTAGAGAATATGAAAGATCTACAAAAAAAAGAAAAAAAAAATTAAAATTAAAATTAAAAAAAAAAGGCAGATAAACTCATAAACCAGAATAAATAGAACTTATAAAAAACCAGAAAAATACCAGAAAAATTCGAAGTTTGAGAATATCCAGAAAAAAGATCTACAATAAACCAGAAAAAACAGAACTTAGAACAAAAAATAGGAAATTAGAAGTTTTCAACAAAAAAAAAAAAAAATCGGAACTTAGAATGAGAATGAAAAATACAAATACCTTATATTGCCGTGAGTAGAATATGAGTATATGACAGATCTACAAAAAAAACAGAAATTAATCAATTCGGAATAAATGAACAAAAGAATTAGACCTTCCAAAAAAAAAATCTGAAATTTTAAGACTAAATGAAAATATCAAATGAGGAAATGAGAGTTTCATAGGCGTGAGAACTGAGAATTTGAGAAAGCTTGAGAGATTCAGATGAAGAGGGAGATAGCTAGGGTTAGGAGGTTAGGAGAGAGAGAGATGTTTGAGAATATCAAAGAGATGAGGAAATGACAAATGAGGCGTGTGTGCTAGTGAGTTTTCTCTAGGTTTAGTTTTAGGTTTTACTTCTTCTCCTAATCTAACCGTCCATTTTTAATCTCAGCATCTCACCGTTCATTTTTTTTTTTTGGTAGTAATAAAGTAATAAAGGTCTGGTTCCAGAATGTTCATGCAACATGCCAGCTTTATCAACGGTCTTATTTTTTTTTTTCGAGACTTTTTCCTTTTTTTATTAAAATATATTAATATATTATTATTATTTTTTTTTGAAAACTATTATTAATTATTTTATTATTTTGAGGTTACTATAATTATTATTATTATTATTATTATTATTATTTTGAGGTTATTATTATTATTATTATTATTATTATTAGTATTATTATTGTTATTATTATTATTATTATTATTGTTAGAATGTTAGTATAATTTTATGTTAATATTCTTTTTATAAGTATTATTATTATTAATATTATTATCATCATCATTATTATTATTATTATTATTATTATTAATATTACAATATTACTTATAAATTGTAAGAAACACAAATGAAACAAAATTGAAATTAATTCAATATGACATAATTAATGACTTAATGACGTTAATGTACATCAATATCTAACATCTCTATGTATAAGTGTATAACTATATATATGAATATATAAGTGAGTCTGTGACTTTAAATATAATAAAATAATAACTTAATAAGTAATAAACTAATAACTAATAAGAGTATAAGACTAATAAAGTAATAAGTAATAACTAATAAGTAATAAGTAGTAACTAATAAAGTAATGAAATCTAACTGTTGTTTTTCATGGGCATTCAATCTAACCGTTGTATATTTGACCATTTGACTATTTGACTATCTGTACATTAGTATTGCTCTTGCATAATGATTTCATCACCACTTTAGTGATTTCGTCATTTCGTCCATTTAACTTATCAAGTTGTTTGAATTAGTAATCTAAACAAAGTACCAAACTAAATAAATAATTCATTTAATCTCGTGTAAGTGTGTAACTTATAAATTATAAGAAATGCAAATGTTTGGAAATTGAAATTGATTCAATACGATATTGACATATTGTTAATGTATATGTATTATGTATATACTTATAAATTGTAAGAAACACAAATGAAACAAAATTGAATGAATTCAATATGACATAGCTAATGACTTAATGTACATCAATATCTAACATCTCTATGTATAACTATATATATGAATATATCTGTGAGTCTGTGACTTTAAATGTAATAAACTAATAACTTAATAAGTAATAAGAGTATAAGAATAAGTCTAATAAAGTAATAAGTAATAACTAATAAAGTAATGAGTAGTAACTAATAAAGTAATGAAATCTAACTGTTGTTTTTCATGGGCATTCAATCTAACCGTTGATTATTTGACTAATTGTACATTAGTATTGCATAATGATTTCATCACCACTTTAGTCATTATGTCATTTCGTCCATTTAACTTATCAAGTTGTTTGAGTTAGTAATCTAAATAAAGTACCAAACTAAATAAATAATCCATTTAATCTCGTGTAAGTGTGTAACTTATAAATTATAAGATATGCAAATGTTTGAAAATTGAAATTGATTCAATACGATATTGTTAATGTATATGTATTATGTATATCATATGGTAGTATGGTATGAATGTACGATTGGTATCATAGTATCATTGGCTCATTGAATCATTGGTATGTAAGTAATTAAGTATGTAACTATGTACGTATAATCGATAAACATATATGTTAAAACTTAAAAATTTAAAACATTTGTTGATCGATCTAATTGAGTACTTGTACTTCCTTAATTATCGATTTATTGTATTCTAAGTATCAACTCATTAAATCATGGTCATGACGCGATCTTTAAAACAATCATGATTCATGAATTCATGACCCAAACCGCTTATAAACCGAACCGGCATGATCCGAACCGTTTATAAACCGAACCGACATTGGACTGGGTAAACCCGCCCCTAAACCGGCCCATTTCAAACCGAACCGACATGATCCGTACCGTTTATAAACCGAACCAACAGTGATCAGGGTAAACCCGCCCCTAAACCGACCCGTTTCAAACCAAACCGGCATGATCCAAACTGTTTGTAAACCGAACCGTCATCAACCTGGGTAAACCCGCCCCCTAAACCGATCCGTTTCAAACTGAACCGGGGTGATCCGAATTGTTTATAAACCGACCCGCTTATGACCCAAACCGAATTTAAACCGTAAAGAAATAAACCGAAACCGAACCGACCCGTGACTAACCGAAACCGAACTGAACCGACCCGTCAGCTAAATCAAATCGTTTCAACCCGAACCGCTCCAAACCGAAACCGACTCACACTGAGGTCCAACCGAACCGCCAAACCAAAGTCCCACCCCTAGCTATGTCGCTTTTGTCTTGTCATGTCATGTCGTGTTACATTTGTGTTTGGTGTCGTACCAGTTTTTACTAACTTTGTGCTAAAATAATGTAAATGTCTAGTTTTACGTGTTTAATAATGTTAATTTCGAGCGCAATGATGTCAATTTAGACACGCAAAATGAGATATTTATGTTAATTTTTGTCAATTTTGAACTCAATTTGTAAGATTAAAGACTAAAATGGCTCATAATATCTAAAATGAGCAATTTTCGCGACAAAAAGAATAGCACCACACATATATGTACATTTTTTGACACGTAAAACAAAATAGGTATGTGTTTTTTTTTCAATGTCGAGCTCAATTTAGCTCCTTAGGGTGAGTTTATTGCAAGTCTTGGAAGGAGTCTTGAGCCAAATTCTTGCAATAATGTATACAATATTACAATGAGTTTTGAAATCCAAAACTCATCTTAAGACTCTACAAGAGGACAAAATCTTTTAGTTATTACCATTAGTGAGTTGCCAACTCACCCTCTTAAAAAAAATTTATTAAAAAAATAAATATATATGTAAATGAATGTTAATAATATTAATAGATAAGCAAATCTGAAGTGAATCATGGAATAACGTGTGAAATTGGAGGAAGTTTTGTATGAATCTGAATAATAAAAAAATTATTAAAAGTTAGTGGAAATCTGATGTGGCTGAGTGTGAAGTATAAGTCTCAATCTTGGGATAAACTTAATCTTATGAGCCAAAATAACCCTCTAAAACCTTATAGGAATATCTTTCGACACGCAATTTGAGAAAAAATATTAATAGGCAATCGCTAACGGAATCCTAACAGAAACCATAATAATATTGATAGCAAAATTCATATATTTTGTGTGTTTTGGTAGTTGTAAAATAAAATAAAATTTTGCCCAGGTAAAGTGGTGCTTTTTAACAATAACAAAAGTCAAATGTCTTCATAACCAAATTTCTTCATAATATTTGTCTATTTTCGACCATTTTTTTATTAATTTCTTTATGATTTTGTTATGCATTTTTTGAGTTAGTTATTCTAATGTAGACTTGCATGAAATCCAAAAGGAGATTTATCATTCTATTACAATGGGATAAATTTTGACAATATTTTTTTCATAAATATAAGAAATCAATAAAACGAAAATTGTAACTTTGCTAAGAAAATTTTGAGTAATTTCAATGACATAATAATATTACTCCATAAGTTGATTCTTCAACCCCCTATATGCAAATAAATAAACACCTCATACTCCCTTCATATTCAAATAAATGAAACGTTTTTTTATGCACGCATGTCAATGTAATAGTTTAAATGATAATATCTTTAATTATCAATAGGTAAAAGTATAACAATTGAATATTAATAAATTATTCGCAAGGACGACTCCAACAAGTACCCACAATACAATTTATTTTTTGTATAAATCACAAATATTAGTCAAACTAAATTAGAAAAATAGTGAAAAAAGTCAAAACGTTTCATTTATTTAAACACGGAGAAAGTAATTACCAAGACAACGAATCTATGACTACCATCACTTTTATTGTGGTTTGTACTCGTGTTGGAGGGCATAAGGGTATAATTTCAGCAGATTACCATCAGGTGGAAGTGATGGGGAAACTCCCAACAATGAGCTACGTGAGAGTCTCGAACCTCACACAGTCACACCTGGGATTCAGAGGCTTCGTGAAGTTTATAATCGAACTGATAACACAACGAACCAAGTAAAGGCAGTTTCCTTGCTGCAGCATTGCAACATGGTGACTGAATTAGAGGAAAGATTCAAAACCTTCCATGTGACATACTTCGTATTAGGCTTACAGATTGTAATCTAGTTAATCCACAACGACCACAAGGAATGATCACACAGACCATACAAACATGTTTTACGAAATACACCAAAACTGAAACAAGCCACATAGAAGGATATATACGTGTATAAATCATCTCATTACGGCACTACTCCACATCCAACACTCTAAATGAGTCTTGCCGAGCAACAAATTGATCAAGCCATACATATTTTCTTTACAATGAAGTGGACGTTGGTGTAATATTGACAACTTGTGTATTTCCTTTATTTCTGAACAAGAACATGTTCCCTCACTAACATGCTATCTCTTTCAATAATCATCCTGAGCTAATCATCAAGTTCTCCAACTAATCAAAAGATATTACACAAAAAAGAGGAAGAGAAGAAAATAACCGTCTATTGAATGTTTCAACACAAAATTTTACCCGATTTTCTTCATTGCAAGTTCCTTGTCCTCTTTGTAGCAGCAAAAAGTTGGCGAATGAATGAGAATTTCCCCCTAGCACGTGCTGAGAACTCGGTAATGGCACCATTACTTGTTGAAGCAGCCTGATTGGCCTCTGATTCTGGCAAGCACGTCTGTGGAGGAGGTGCTGGTGGTTGGAGTGTAAAGAGATATTGATTTAACATGCGGATAATCTGACTGAAGCTAGGCCGTAAGTTAGGGTCTTCGACCCAACATGATTGTATGATGAATGCAAGTTCTGGGGCTATATCATCTGGAATTTTTGGTCTCTCTTGCTGCATTGATAATAAGACGAGAAAATTACTCAGAAACTCACATTAAAAGACATATATCATAGTTATATGGAATTATACGAATACTACTATGGGCTAGGGCATTTAGCTTTTAACAAAGGACAACCCGAACTTTGTATAAAGGCCCCCTTCAAAACTGGATTATTAACATACTCCCTCGAACTCTCAATAATCTTCCTGCGTTTTTGCTCGTCTCAATAAACATTGTATCTCCATCATATCAAGCCATCAACCTTCCTCTCACAACTCCCAACATTTACTCATACTACATTCCCTCGCACTACTTTTTCTCTACACTTCCAAAATTTGAGTATATTTCACCAATTTTTTTTTCTTAATTACCATTCAATAACAATACATTCTTTTTAAGATCAAACAAAATCTTATAAGAAAACGATAAAGAAATTCTGAGTTAAATGAAGAGAGATGCATACTTCAGCAACCTCCAAGTAGGATCAACCCAATGTAAAGTACAAATAACAACCCCCTAGTAAGGATCCGTGTTCTGGGAAGGTCAAGAGAGGTCCAAATGGATTGTAGCCTTTCTAACCCTTATCCAAATAAAAGTAACATACAGTAATCTAGAATAAACATAATATTTGAAGACATTGCTCTATATTGAAACAGTCGCAAACTAAAAGTAAACCATGCTAAAAAAAAACACAAAGTTTCGCTAATACTAAAATTTTTAGGGTGTCCCAGTTCTAAGTTAGGCAGTTAGCATCCTACTTTCGGCAAGATTTTTCAAAAGTCAGAATCCACGCCTACTTAGTCACTTCAAACTCTTCACTTTTCATCCTATTTTATCTTTGTGGCTTTGAACCCTCAAGCAAAGTTGACTTACAATAGGGACGGAGAGAGTAGTTAGGAAACAGGTTTAAACAACGGGACTACAAGAAGCAAATTAAAGAAAGCGTCCATAAAAACATAAGGTGCAAATAATTAAAAAGAAGAATCATTATATGCTGTGCACAATGACACCTAGCAGCAGCAGAAAGATTTTAACTCTACACACCTTAAATGCTGCAGCATATGCAGCTTGTAAATTGGACATTCCTTCAAAAGGCATGCGATTAGTCAACAACTCCCACAGGACAATTCCAAAACTGTACACATCTACCCTGTTGTTGTAATGCTTCTTTTCTCCTTGGCGTAAAGTGACTGTGCTGTACAACTGCAAGAACAAACCAGTATGCATATATAAGGTTATCATAGACTACAGAAGGAACCTCAGACAATGTTCTGGCCTGATTTAAAGCCTATAGTATCTTCAACAACTTTATAAACCTTTGTCTGTTCCACGAATATGGAAATTACATTTTTTTATTTCTTTAGAAAATATCCTAAGGACTAAAAGACTGGGGCGTTAACTTTAGACAAGTTCAAAAGAAAAATTAGCTTTGATAAGGGCTAAGCTAACAACTAAGAAAGTTAGGATAAGTTCAAACTTCAAATTAGGAAAAATAAGCTCAGATAAGGGATAGAAAGTTCAGATAAGGGTTCTCATGTAAAAAGAAGGAAATTTAAACCAGGAAATACATCCACATCAATCCAAATTCTCTAAATGTAAAAGGCAACTACTTCGTGGATCTATATGAATAATAAAATATCATAGTGCATACGATTTACCAAAAGGATAAAAGAAATCATGGGATCAACATAATCTAGCAAATTACATACTAGTCTACAAGACAGTATATTACAGAGCATTAGACACAACTAAAATAACTAATAGTAAATCCTACATTATGCCAGAAGCTAGAACATGGCATCCTTCGGTTATTAAATTGAGTGGATGGGCATAGAAGAAGAGAAAGCACCTAAGGGGGGACATAGTAGTCTCTTGGTCAATCAACTGATTTAAACAACCTACAACAATGAAAATCCTTGCTCTGGACTATCATGGTTCCACTCTATAACTAATTTAAGAACTAAAGTACTAAAGAACATAATCTAGCTAGAATCTCTTATATGATTATTCTGTTGACTCCAATTAAATAGCTTAAACCAAAGTGATATGTCGGCAAGACATGCCTATAAAACTGAGGATCGTCGTATATTGCAATATAAAGTATACAATTAGAGGAACAAATGGCAATTGTTTAGGGGGATTCAAGAAAGGGAAAGGCAACCAACTACCATGATTCCCTTATCATTTATTAGGCTAATTTAATTATTTGCTTTACCCCTTCCATTCTCCCACTTTCTTCTACCATGATTCCCACACCCCCAAGCAATCATCCTAACTCTTCTACACCCAACCAACTTACCACCACCATCTATGACCACCCCAATACACCAAAACACCACCATCTAATGCCGGGATTATTAACCTCTGCCAAAACCACCCCAACCACCGAAAAAGTGACCAACAACAAAACCAACATAACCCCTGGTGTCGCCGCACCCTTCAAAAACACTCACCCACTTATATAAAAAAAATAATAATCAATCAAAACCTTAATGCCATAAGAGGGGTCAGCTACATGAACCAAATTTGATAATTCCGTGTAATAATAATAAATTAATTAAAAAAAAATTCAAAAACACCCACCACCACTAATCCACCACCCAACCACCTACAAAACCACCACCCACCACTGAAAACCAACCCCACCTACCGAACACATATCCAACTCACACGAAACCACACTTCCACCACCATCCAACCTTCCCACTTTCACCAAACCACTTCAATAAAAACCCGTAACCATGCCAGTAAAGCCTAAATACAATAAAAACAACTCTAAACATTTAAAAGCACACCACTTACTCTAAAATCAACCCTGAACATCAAGAAATTCTATCAAAAATAATACTTCCTTTGTTCCCTTAATATTGCAACATGGGGAAGGGGCACATATTATAAGAAGAGGAAAGAGATAGAGAGGAATAAAGATAAGGTACCACTTGATGAGGATAGAGAAAGAGAAAACATGTGCAAATAAGGTAATGTTGCAATATATGTGAAATTTTCTAAAATGGTAATTGTTGCAATATGTGTGGAATGGAGGAAGTAGATCTAAAAGAAAGAAGAGAGAGAGAAGTGGGTGCAACATATATAGGGAGAGGGGTGGTGGCATCGGTCCAACAATTGTGGAAGGAGGGCGCTGGTGTTGGAAGCATAGAGCCGATAGAGGAATGGCACTAGTAGACTAGTAGTGGTGGAGAATAAAGGTAGTGGCGGTCGTAGATGGAAGGATAGATATACATGGTTTCCCTTTACTATTTTTTTTTTTTCTTTTTAATAAAAGAAAAAAAGAAAACCTAGGAGAATTAAAGGAGTAGCTTTCCTTTCTCCTTCTTTCCTTTACCCCTTTATAAACCAAACACCATATAACTAGACATGTTGTAGCCCTCTTCCTATAATAATTTGCATAGAGTTCAAGGTGCAAAAATACGGCCGCATTGTTTCAGTACAGCCATATTGTAAGGGATTTTCAATTGATCAATCCAAAATCATACAGTTCAATATAAGGTGCATCAAAAACCCGCGATCTCATCAGAATCAAATGATTCAACATATCAAACATTACATCCCGTGTTTCACTCAAAAATTACTTGCTATTTTTAGATAGAGCGAAAGTTTCCTCACGTCTCCCCAGTAGAGGCTTTATGCCTCTAATAGTCTAACAACACTTATAAATTACAATTATTGTAAAATTCTAAAAAGACTTTGTAATCAAATTCATATTGCAACAACCGCGTCATGATCGGCAATCAATGCATCAACTCTAGTCCTGCCACGCAAGGCCGTTCTAGGGATCATGACCAAAACCGTATTTTCGAACCATATTTGAGATCATCCAACAAAAATCAATTTACCGCTCAAAAAAATAAATAAAAACTAAAACCTACCTCAGGAGCCATCCAGCGATACGTCCCAGTTTCTGCAGTCATCATCTCGGTCAGAGTTTCTTCTCTCGCAAGACCAAAATCTGCTAGCTTCACAGACTTGTGATTGGCAGTAAGCAGCAAATTATCTGCAAACAGCATAACAATAGACAATCGATATAGAGTCTCCACAATGAACAAAAATTTGTCACAACATAAGTAAGCAAACAAATCAAGAAAAGGAGTTATTTGCATCACAACCTGAAAGGCTGAAATGATTAAATATACGTAGTTTATACTTCAGAAACACACTCGGCAACAGAAAATGAGAGCAAAAGCAGCAAAACTTCATCATACAGTTGTAAATCAAGTAGAATAAAATGAGAAATAAAATTAAAAAATCTAGTTTTAATGCTTCAATCTCATTACATCCCAAGTCTACCAAACAAGGTTATATGGACAAAAAAAATACATATGGTAGTTGATATTTAGTTCACTTCCTAATATATCAGTATGTAAAATAGTCTACAAACAAAGGATAGTCCTGGCAATACCAGGCTTTAAATCTCTGTGTATGATTCCATTAGCATGCAGACAGTCCATTGCACGAGCAATGTCAAGTGCATAACTCAACACCACATCTAGCTCTAGCTGATTTGGACGAAGACTGTTCAAGTACTTCCGCAATGATAGGCCTGGTAACAATTCTGTAACTATAACCATCAATGGGTCTTTGCAAGCTCCGATAAACTGCAATGAAAAATAATGGGTAAATATATGACATGCTTGAAGTAGATTTCCAACCACAAAAATACAGCAAAATACAAGCTTCTCTGCTGCAACGAATAGAAGGAATAGGGAGGTTTGAAAAAGAAAAAGGGACACAAACAATTCACCAATCAAATATTAAAGACCTGCCTTGACGAGGTTCTCATGCTTAACTCTAGACATCATGTTAACCTCCCGTATAAAGCGGCTTTCAAGCAAAGCCCTCTCATCAGTAGTACTCCCACGGTTAAGAACTTTAATAGCCACAATTCTGTCACCATATCTGCATTAAGGCAAAGGAAGTATTAATTACTACACCAATAAGGCAATAACTCATAGTACATACCAAAGCAATGCCCATACGGTGCTAACAAAGGCCCTAACCAATAAGAGTCACATAGCACAATCTTATAAAGCACTACACCAAAAATTTATCAACAAGACATCATTTATCAAGTCAAATGTAGGACTTAAAGAATGAAATTCAGTGTATCATAATGTTTTTAGCTTCATAAGCATCATTAACTAAGTGCACAATGAAAATCATAGGAGTAATTCCGTGCATTATAATCCGCAATATTTGTAGCTTCCCTACCCACCTTTCTTACACAAAATAAAAATGCTCACACTTCACAACTATCCTATTCTTTCAAATCCCCATCGAAAATACCAATTGTAATAGGGGCAAGACAGCATACATCCGGAACTAATCTCAGGCCAGCTTTACTATTACATGAAGTTTATAGAGCTCATCTTATCTCTCCCCACCCAACCCCACCCCCCTTCATTCTAAAACAGAAAAATGGTTACACTTTACAACTATACTATTCTTTCATACCCCAATCTAAAATAATAACAGATAACAGTAACTGGGGTAAGACGGCATACATCTGGACCTCATCGGACCTAATCTCGAGCCTGTTGGAGGCACTAATACTGGGTTGTTGCTGCGATTGCTGTTATTGTTACAGTCTAATTAGCATGATGACAGCATACAATTATACAAATCTACTCTTAACTTAAGCCCCTCTATAAATTTTTTAACTGTTTTATTGGCCAAAGTAAAACTAAAACAGTAAAAAGAAAAGAAAAAAAGAAAAAAAAAACAAAATTCAGCAAACATTTACAGACATCAGCAATTACTTAGCCAATTCATCAATCAATAATACAACAAACATCATGAATTCAAAATTACTATAGACTTAAACATAAACACACTAAATTAAGCAACTTTAAAACACTATTAACAATACGATCACAAAAAAGGGAATAACTAACAGCACAAAATCATGAAAATAACAATTTCACTTTTTCTTTCTTTTGGTTAAATTAATCTGACCTGCCTTCATAAACCTTGCCATGAGCTCCTTCCCCAACTTTGGACCCAATAAACAACAACCTCGGGTCAACCAGAAGACTCTCATCAAGTGAACCGGTGATCGACCCGTTTCTAGAATTCGGGTTGTTTGACCCACAATCATTCTCTTCTCTTCCAATACTCATACTCTTCAATTAATTTTCTCAAATAATCCCTGAATGCCTCATTTCAAAAAAAAAAAAAAAAAAAAAAAAAAAATCCCCAGAAAAACCCAAAAAAATCAAACTAATTTTTTAAAAATAAACCTTTTAATGTTGCATCAAAAGAAGAATCCGGGGTTTATCAACCCCATAAAAACCCAAATTTTCTCTCTCTCCTGAATAGTCAAATGTTGATTTTTTTTTGGAAATTACCAAAATAACAAACAAACAACCCCCTTAATACTATTATACTATTCTTTTTCTTGAAATTTCTTGATTGAACTTGAAGTTTCTTAGTACCCGAAAATGGAAGCAAAATTGTGGGGAGGAAAAAGGGTAGCAAAAAGAACAGAGAAACTTACACTTGAAGCTACAAAAAAAAAAGATTAAAAATAAAAAGAGGGTTGAAATTTTAGTGGGATTATTGTAGAAAAAATTCTAAAAGCAAAGTTTGAATCTTTTATAAGTAAATTAAAAATTAAATCTTTTTTGAGCTAATTTTGAGCTGAATGAAGATTAAATGAACCCTAATTCTGAATTTTTGTGGGGTAATTGATTTGCAGAGTATTTTTACTTTCTCTCTCTAAGCACTAATTTTCTCTCTCTAAAAGTGAAAATGGAAGTTCCGGTGAAGATATTCGCAGGAATTTGTTCCGGTCAGTATTGTGTTATTTTTTTAATTTAATAATTTTTTTATTTTGTTATTTGAAAAAAGTGAGAGGTAAAAATTAGATTTGATTTTTTAAAATAAAATAAAATGGAGAGAGAGAAAAAGGAGATATGAAAATACATGTGTCGAATAAGACGTGCACACGTGGAGAGCATATGAAGTGATTCATGTTTTTTTTAATAAAGAAAAATCTTGATGTTCTTAGTTTAGTATTGGCCATTGGGAGCTCAATCACTCTCCAAATAATTTTGCTTGGCTTCGCTTGGGTTGCCCTTAGCTTCGAATTTGGAATTTAGGCCACCAACACAATGAATGGGTTAAGGCATTATTGGCTTATGCCGACTACTTCATTTGTTTCAAATTAGTTAATGCGGAGTACTTTTTTTTTTTCTTCTTATATGTTCGTATATCGATGCATAAATTTATCTTAAATATTCTAATTATTAATAATAAATTGAAAATTTTATTATAATAATTTCAACTTTGTCCGATTTATTTCGAATAATTAACTTTTGATTTCTCTTTATTAATCTCAACTTTCCCCTCCATTTTCATCAATTAATTCCAAACCGGTCAACAAAAATCATCAACCTATTAGGGCATGTTCTCATTGACTGAACTCAGCTGAACTGAAATGAATATTTTATAAGAGAAGGAAATTAGGAGCTGAACTGAACTGAACTGAACTGAATTTCAACGTAAGAGAACAGACCCTTATTATAGGTTGCTTGACACGCTTCGACATGTGAGTGATCCAATAAAAATTGAATAGCCCCATACCCAGCCTTGCAGACACCCCCTTACCCTGCCCCTTAGTCCAATAGCCACCCCATCCCTCGCCCCACCGCCGAAACTACCTTTCTCCCACATCCAGTTGACCGAACACACCCCCGAAACCGCCCCTGACTTAAACCACCCACCCCAAAACCACCCTAGACCCACACCCTAGAAACACGCCCCCCCCCCTTCCCCACCCGAAACCTTTCTCCCACCCCTCGAAAACCTTTCCTCAACCCCTCGAAAATCTAATCGAAACCTTTCCCTCACCCCACGAAACCGGTGTTTTAGTGGTGAAGGGTCAGCAATTTTGTGGTGGGGAAGGGAAAGAGAAAGAAAACAAGGAAGGGGGGTGGGCCAGTTTTGGAGGTGGAGAATGGAGGGAAGGTTTCCGGTTAAACTGGGGAGTGAGGAGGAATGAATGGGGTTGGGAAAGGGGGAGTTCTTCCAATGGGGCTTAGAATGGGGGGTGTTTGTCGTTTTTTTTTTTTTTTTTGTTTACATTTTTAGATCGATAAATGTGCGACACGTGCCATATTAGGGAAAAAAAACATTTTAACAGGTTGCCAATTTTTGGGACTCAATAAAGAAAATATACGTGAAAGTTGGGATTATTGCAGAATAATCGAAAGTGGAGATTATTCAAACTAAAAAATAGGCAAAGTTGGGATTATTATAATAAGTTAATAAGTAGATTTTTTAAATATACACATTGAGTGAGAAAATCTACAAAATCTCACATGAATGTGATCTTCCTTATCTATAATTGAAAAAAAAATTAGTGAAGTAAAGTTTGCAAAAGTGCAAAAAATCAAAGTGTTTAATTTGAAATGAGGGACATATCAATGATAATTATTGAGTTTTCAAATTCAAATTTACGAGTAAATAAATAAATAACAATAAAATTTTTTAAAATTTAAATAAAAATGTCTTATCACAACTTTGTAGTTAGGTTGGGCCAAGGGTTGAGAAACTGAGTACAATTATTGTCTAGATAATAAAACTTAGGTCTTGTTTGGTTGCACTTTAATAATGGGGGAAATACAAATTCATGGAAAATGTGTTTAAGAGTAGTTGTTTGGTTAGCAAAAATGTAGGAAGTGCAAATTCCTAAGGAATTTGGAATTCCTACAAAATATGGGAATTAATTTCCCACATCCTACCTTGGTCACTCAAATTTCCTACATGTATTTTGCGTGAAATTACATTATTGTCCCAAAATTTTGGGAAAGTAGTTGAAATTAGGAAAATTTGTCAAAAAAATCTTTTAAAAGCATCATTTTGCGAAAAAAAAACCTTTTAAAACCTTTTTATTTTTATTTCAAAAAACCATCACGTTTATTTTTTTGGAAGAGAAAGCCTATATCCCTAATTACCCTCTAATTAACATAATTAAACTCTAATTTCTTCTAATTAACATGATCCCTTTCCCCCTTTCTCCCTCCCCTTCCGCCTCCTTCATGCTCCCATGGAATCACCCCCCCACTGGACCCGCTGTCTGGATCCCCCCACCTTCAACGACCTCCTCCACATCCAGATGATCCTCCCTTTCCCCCTAATCACCGCCCGACAACCACCTCTTTAATTTTGAAAAACCCTAGAAAATTAATTTGGGGGTTTTTTAATTGTGTGTATCTTGCTTGTAATGGATGCTTGTTTTGGCTTTGATTATGTATGTATGTGATGCTAGGGTTATTTAGAAGCAAATTGCAATTGATTTGGACTTGATTTGATCATGTTTAAGTAAATAAGATCCAAAAATTCGAAGGGAAGGCGTAGGTCGCCAACGGGGGAAAGGGACGGTCCTCTGGCGATGGAGGTAGGTCGCCGGGGGTGGGGGGATCTGAGTGGCAAGTTCGGTGGGTGAGGGGGAGGGGGAAGGGAGGAAGAAGGGGAAACGGTGGTTGGTTGGTGGTCGGGGTGGTGGTTTTTTTTATGTATAAATTAAATCTTATTATTAAGTAATTAGGTGGGTTAGAGGTAAATTAGAAGAAATTGGAGGAAATTAGAATCTAATTAAGTTAATTAGAAGATAATCAAGGAAATAAGTTTCCTCTAGCAAAAAAAAATGAACGTGATGGTTTTTTTTTTAACCATAAAGCTCTTAAAAGATTTTTTTTTTCCGCAAAATGGTGCTTTTTATATTTCCTATATTTCAACTAAATACAATTTTAGTAATTCCTAGGATATAAAATTTTTCATTATGTATTGTAGCTTCTTATAGGCATTTAATTTCCATATGTAATTTTTTTTTTTGAAAGAATTCCCATATGTAACTAAACGGCCTTAGGATTGTATTTTATTGGAAGTCTACGGTGGCCGGCAAAGTGGCAAAAGAGATCGAGCAGTTTGTTGTTCACACATTCATTTCATGAAATAGGCCATATTATTTGTTGGATAATATAAATAATTGTTTTGAGTACTCCCTATATATTATAGTGGATACAAAATGTATATAAATAGTAATCGTGGAACAAAGTGGAAATACTAGAAAATAGTATCAGCCCATCATACTTGATACTTGGTATCTCAGCACCATGAATATTTTATCAATCCATTTTGCATGCACCCGGTGTACAGTATTTTTACTGTACATTGGACATTGTGCACATGCCACTCATTTACTAGTTTTTTTTTTTTTAAAAAAAAAAAAAAGCAAAATCGCGAAATTTAATACCTCAAAATCAAAAAAACGCAGACAATAATGGAGGAGAGAGAAAGTGAGAAAACGCAGCTCTTGATCATGAACTGAGGAGAGAGAAAGTGAGAAAACGCAAAAATTGTAGAAATCGATCATCAATTGAGAAGAAAAAAAAGGTGAAAAACACACAAATTAAAAATTTCGATCATCAATTAAAGTAGAGAAAGTGAAACAACTTACAAATTGAGGAATTCGATAAACGCAAAAATTGGAGAATCCGATCATCAATGGAAAATTCGACTTTCGATACCACAAATTTTAGCAATCTCATCCACGAATTGCTACAAAAACAGAGGCAAATTGAAACTGAATTTGAAATCGATTTAAATCGATCGATTATAGAAGAAGAAGAAACAAAGAGTTTTGGAGATGAATTCGTACCAATACTCAACAATATAAACAATGTAGACGATGCAGAAGAAGCAATTAACAATGCAGAAGAAGCAATTGAGAATGCAGAAGAAGCAATTGAGAATGCAGAAGAACCAATTGAGAATGCAGAAGAACCAATTGATAATGCAGAATATCAAGTGGTTCCTGGCAAATCAATTGATTCAAATTCAGAACAAACAACCAAATCAAATGCAACTGAAGGTAATTTCTATAAACATTTCAGATTGTATGCAAAAAGTAACCCTTTGTATGCCTTAAAGTTACCCTTTTAACAGCACAAAGTTACCCTTTTAACTGTACAAAGTGACCCTTTTAACATCTCAAAGTGACCCTTTTAACATCACAAAGAGACCCTTTTAACAGCATAAAGTGACCCTTTTATATTCATAAAGTGACCCTTTTAACAACATAAAGTGACCCTTTTAACAGCATAAAGTGACCTTTTAACAGTATAAAGTGACCCTTTTATATGAATAAAGTGACCCTTTTATATGCAAAAAGTGACCCTTTTAACTGAAAAAGTTACTCATGTAACAACATACAGTGACTCTTTTAACAGCATAAAGTCACCCTTTTCATGCATAAAAGTGACCCTATTTTCGAACAAATGTTACCATTTTGTTTCCTCTAAATTGAATTATATGTTGCCTTTGATTATAATCTGATATATCTGTATTAAATAACAGATACAAATCCAATTCATGCTTCTGGTTTAGATCTTAGAGGTTCATTTTTTTGGTGTGGTAAGAGAAACTTTTGAAGAAATTTTGGAATTGTATGAAAAACATGCTGCTATACTGGGGTTTTCAATACGAAAACATACAACTAGATACCAGACACACACAAAAATAGTAACTGAGAAAAATTATGTGTGTTCTGCTGAAGGAAAGAGAAATTCAGGTTTCAAGAAAACAAAGTTGGTTGAAATGGTTAATGAAGAGGATGTGAATGTGAAAACAAGAAAGCCAAGACAAGTAGCCATTACAAGATCAAATTGCAAGGCATGCATAAGAGCAAAAGTGAATAAAGAAGGAAAGATTGAGGTAGTGGCTCATGTTATTCAGCATAACCATGAGCTAACAAGGTCACAGTGGCATTATTTGCATCCTTCTGAAAGAAAAATGACAGAAGAAAAAGCTGAAGCAATAAAAACAATGAAATCTTCAGGTCTAACTACAATGGACACTTACAAGTACATGGCTACAGAGGCTGGAGGAGAACAGAATATAGGTCATAGTGTTGTAGATCATCTGAATTTTTGCTCAAGGTTAAGAATGGAACAAATTGAGGCTAGAGATGCTCAAAATTTAGTGAACATTTTAAATCAGGAACAATCAAAGGATCCAAAATTCTTTTTTAGAGTTAAGTTTGGCAAGGATGGAAGAATTTCCAATATCTTTTGGATAGATTCAATGATGCTAGAAGACTATAGGATATATGGAGATGTGCTTGTCTTTGATACAACATACAGAACCAACAGATATAATCTTATATGTGCTCCATTTGTTAGAATAAATAATCACTGGCATAATTGTATGTTTGCATGTGCTTTATTGGGGATGAAAAAACAGATTCATTCATTTGGCTACTAGAAACATTCTTGAAAGCTATGGAGAATAAAAAACCAACTTCAATATTCACTGATCAGGACCAAGCAATGGCAAATGCAATTGAGCAGGTAAAAGATTTATATTTACATTTTACAGATTTTAAATTCTGACAATAATGTTTTCCTTTTCCCATAACGTTACCCTTTTAAATGCATAAAGTTACCCTTTTAACAGCATAAAGTGACCCTTTTAACAACATAAAGTGACCCCTTTATTTTCAATGTAGGTGCTTCCTAATACAAGGCATAGACTTTGTATCTGGCATTTGGAACAAAATGCTATAACCAGATTTGGAGCTCTTAAAAAAGACAAAGAATTCAAGTATGCATTCAACCAGTGTTTAAAGATGTGTGTGACAGAACAAGAATTTGAAGCAAAATGGCAAGCAATGATGCAAAAATATGAGTTGACAGCACACTCTTGGTACCAAAGAGTGTACGAGTTGAAAGAGAAATGGTGTCCTGCCCTTAGTAGAGATTTCTTTTCAGCAGGAATCTTATCGTCACAAAGGAGTGAAAGCACTAATCATGCAATAGGATTCATAGCAAGTAAAGCAACTACCTTGACAGAATTTTATACCATATTTAAGAAAACAATCAATCGTTGGAGAAGCACAGAGAAATATGATGAGTTTACCTGTAGCAAGTCAATAACATTCACTTCATTGCCACTATCTGGAATGCTAAAACATGCTGCTCAGGTAAAAAGTTAACTGATAAGTACATAATTTACACGTAAATTATACCAGTTTAAATGTAGCTAAACGATTTTGGTGAATAGGTTTTCACTTTGTCACTCTTTAGAGATTTTGAAGAGGAGTTTGGATATTCTATGGCAACAACTGTTCAAATGATTGGAAGAAATGAAGAATGTCTACTCTATCAGGTAGCCCTAGAAGACAAGCCATGGTCTGCACATCAAGTAAACTATATACATGAGAGCCAGAATGTATGGTGTACTTGCAAAAATTTTGAAGCATCTGGATGGTTATGTTATCATTGCATCAGAATTCTACACTTGCATTCAGTAACAAGAATACCAGACAAGTATGTTTCAAAAAGATGGACTAAGTTTGCAAAAACAGAGGCATGGGATAGGTTGAAGAATCAGGATCCTACACATCAGTATATTTTATGGAGACAAACAATGATAAGGAAATACTACAACCTAATCTTAAAGAGTCAAGAAAATGAAGAAACAAGATAATTTATGGAAGAAAGTTTCAGAAACATTCTTAAAATGGTGGAAGACTTACTTGCTAGTGCTGCCAGAGAGAAAGTGCAGAAGCTGCTTCTAATGTTCCTGATGTGGCAGACAGCAATCATAGCAATGATGATGTTTCTTCGGCATCGAGTACAAGCACAAGTGTACCAACAATACTTGATCCACAAAGGGTTGTAACAAAAGGTAGAAGCAATAGAGCAAAAGGAGGTCTTGAAAAAAGCAAGAGAAAAAGAAAACCAGCACTGCCACCTCCACATTCAGAATTTGGATCTAAAACACCTAATTTGAGACTCTTTTAGGAATTTTTTTAGATCATTTTATTTTAAAAATTAATGTAATTTGTATTCTAAAACTATATATATATATATATATTTTTTTACTATGTGACTAGTTTAATGAATATGTGATTGACACTATTATTAGCATATCTTTATTTAGTTAAACGTTTAAATTAAGAGTGACCCTTTTAACAAAAAAAATGAACCTTTTTTAAGCAAAAAGTGACCCTTTTAACAGAAAAGTGAACCTTTAATTTACTGAAAAAAGTGACCCTTTTCACATAATAAACCATTTACATAAAAGTAATTATTTTCATGAATAAAAGTGATCCTTTTTCTAAATAAAAGTGACCCTTTTCATAGCTAAAATTACCCTTTCTAAAAATAAAGTCTACATTTTTCTTGTTTAAAAGTTATTCTTTCTATAAATAAAAGTTACCCTTTTTCTGCATAAAAGTTACCCCATAAAAAACAGAAAAAAAACCCCTGACCCTTTTAATTTACAGAAAAAAGTGACCCTTTTCACATAATAAACCATTTACATAAAAGTGAACCTTTTTCTACATAAAAGTGACCCTTTTCATAGCTAAAGTTACCATTTCTAACAATAAAATCTACGTTTTCTTGCTTAAAAGTTACCCTTTCTGTAAATAAAAGTTACCCTTTCTATAAATAAAAGTTACCCTTTTCTGCATAAAAGTTACCCCATAAAAAACATAAAAATAAACCTTTTAATTACTTTATGTATGCACATACATCAGTATTCCAAAAAAACAACTAAAGACTTTAAACTAAGTTTAATTACATCATTGAACTTAATGTATGCACAAACATTAAGTTTTTCATTGTTAAAAAAAAACCCCTGACCTAATCAGCTAACAACTATCAATTATTTCACTATTTAGAAGGAGTAAACTTTTTTGCCCTTTTTCCTTTGGTCTTTTCCTCTTCTCCCTCTGCCTTTACTTCTGCTTCTGCTGCCATTTTTCTTTCTTCTGTTTCTCTCTTCTTCTTCGCAACAATTGCAGCCTTTAATCTTTCTTCAATTCCATTGACATAAGCAGGATCTTTCTTCTTCTCGTTGAACTTGTGTAATTCTGACAACACATCGTTCCTAGATTCATTCAAATCACACAGCACCAGTGTGGTACAGATCTCTCCTCGTAAAATTTCCTTCCATTAATCTCACAACAGCAAAAAAAAAAAAATTATCAATATGTAATTAATAAAAGCATTAGAAAGAAAAAAACTACAGAAACTATGTAGATAATTACTGTTTTGAGTTCATTTAATTTAAACGATTCGCCAACAAAATGGAGCATGTGATACATGACAAAGACCCCATAGTCCAAATTGTCAACTTTTTCTTTTCTCCATTCCAACTCAACAACTTCAAAACCATAAGAAGGTAGCTGAGAACTCTTTGGATGATTTCTTTTGCCAAGAAAAGCACCCATTTGAACACACTGACATAAAATATAAAAGTTTAGAATACATTAAAATCAAAAAAGTTAAAATGGAAACAATGAATCAACTGTAACATAACAAAAAAACAAACACAAACATACCATCTTTGAACACAATTCTTTTGTATAAACAAGAGCAAAATCAGTCCAGATAATGTTGTCAAGATAATATACCAACTCTTTTGTATGATCAATAACATACAAAATGTAGTGATTCTCAATAACAACAGGAAAATAGATCTGAAAGAGCAAAATTAAAAGAGATTTAAACAGAGCATATCATAAACAGAACTCTTTAAAATTTATTACACTAAGTTTAGAATAAATATACCAGATCAACATCCATTATATCACATTCTGGATTCTCATATCTAACCCAACCTTCCCATAGGTCGTGCAAATCCTTAACAACACTAGAAATGTTACCTTTGCCAATATTGTCACAAACATGCAAGAATGCAAACTATTAAAGTATAAGATCTCAATAGTATATATATATATATATAAAGTAAATGTGTTAAGATATAAAAAAAAAAAGAATGAAATAACTTACACTCTGCCTAACACCGAAGAAGAATTTTCGAGGACCAGTAGCCTGAAAACATGTTTTCTCATTCAAATACAAACAGAAGCAATCAATAACGCACCATCGAATCCTGAGTGGAGCAACAAGGGACACCATGTCTTCTCTTGGAATTAAAAAGTTCATTCCAAAAGTAACAAGGCTCTCACTGAAACAATAAAAAATAAGATCAACATTTAAAAAAAAACAAAAAAATATAAGAAAAAAAACAGATAAAAAAATAATTATAATAAAAAAGGACACTTAACTTTCTATCCATTGAAACATCCTTCCGCAAACAATAATCGAGAATTTCCAAATGTAACTGAGACAAATTCTTGAAAATCCGAGCATTGCTCTTTACAAAAAGAGTTACAAAAGGCACCTGCACACCTACTGGTCCACAGTCCAGAGAGCATAGAGATTTATTTGCTCTGAAGATACGTCGAGGAGGTTCATTTTGATCAATATGCCCAACAGGAATATTTTCAGTAGGACCAGGAATGATAGCAGAAGGTCCAGAACCATTAAGGCCTTCATTAACTATTTTTCCATGACCATTGTCATCATCCTTAGGAATATTTTCATTAAAACCTTGTGCAGGTTCTTTTTCAGGAACAACATCTTGTTACCTTCTGTAGGTTCATAAAAACCGCGAAACAAATCATGTACAGACTTCATTTTATTACACTCATCAATTAAACCATCTAAAATCTTCAGATAATGAGGATCAGAGAGTAGCAGTTTAGTTTGAGAAACTGAAACAGAATCATTAGAAGATAATGAAACACTTCTGCGAGAAGTAATCAGATCATTCAAGGTTTGAAAACCAGTTGACTGAACAAATAATAAAACATCCATATTTCTTTTAAACAAAAGAAACATTTCATGAACAACCTACAAACATATGAACAAAGAAAAAAAAATGTTACAAATAAAAATAATAAAATAAGTAGGAAATCTAAATATATGCTAAAAGTGACCCTTTTAAATGCATAAAGTGACCATTTTAAATGAAAAAAGTTACCCTTTCGTATGAATAAAGTAACCCTTTTAACTTAATATTTAAGATAACTTTAATGCATATAAAGGGTAACTTCGGTGCAAATAAAGGGTAACTTTGGTACACAAAAAGGGTAAGTTTTGTACACAAAAAGGGTAACTTTTGTACACAAAAGGGTAATTTTTGTACACAAAAAGCAATAATAACTAAACATATAAGAAAACAGAACACTTACATCAGTTGAAATTTTTTTAATTTCTTCATCAGTCATAATACCTTCTGGAAGCTCAAATGCAACAATGCGACCAGTGGTACCACTTGTAGAAGCACCCTTATCATAACCCAAAGTAGGAGTTGGCTTAAAAACAGTTTCCCTAAAATTAAGCCGTGACACAGGATATGTAAAAGTATCCAACGGTCCCTGCCCATAACCACCAGCTTTGATCTCTAACTTAATCCGCTTCTTAATCTTTACATCCGTCCAATGTTGAATCACAGGAAGAGTACTACTTTCCTTTTCACCTTGAAAATTTAGACGATGAAAATACATAATTTGCAAAGCCAGCAAACAACCACTAACATTTTGAGCAGTTTCATCATCCTTATACTTCTGAACAGCCTTCTTTAACTTTTTCAAAACATATGAACACCAATCGAAAGTTTTAATTTCATCAAATTTTTCAACAGCTTTCAGCAACTTCAATGAAACAGTCCTATTAGTAGTAGGAGCTAAAAAGCTAGACATAGCTTGAAGAACCAAACACCTCTTAAATTCTTCCCCTCCATCAACCAAATCAACCATCCGAGACTCCAATTTCGACAAATGAAGAGGTTGCTTACCAGAAAGACCATAATCAGATCTCCATGTCTGAATGATACGTTTATCTACACTTTCATCTTCAGAATTTTTATTAAGTTCAGGAACGCAAATATCACTCAAAGGCAAGCAAAACACATCGCATATATCATTTCTAGTAACAACAAATTCTTTACTAGTAGCGATGGTAAACATGCAGCTACCAGCATTGAAGTTTTCAACAAGCCAAGGTAGCATTTGACGATTAAGAGTTTTCAATTTAAGATGTAATAAACCTCCAAAACCAATTTCTTCAACAGCCTGTTTTTGCTCAGGACTAAAGTTCTGCAGCAAAATTTCCAATGAATAGGGTCTACATCTTGCAATCAAGCTTCTTTGCTCCCTACATAGAAAAAAAAAGAAAGAAAATGTAACTAAAACAATATAAAATAAAAACAAAATATAATTAAAAATGTAAAAAAAAAATATGTATACTTACACAAAAGATTCAGAATCAGAATCAGAAAGCATTTCATAATCAGAATCTTCCACTGTATTAGCTTTCTTAGGTACAATTTTAGCCTTCTTAGGAACTATTTTGGCCTTCTCAGACTCTGGTTTGTCACTCTTAGAAATAATTAAGCCCTTCTCAGGAATTTTCACAGCCTTTTTAGGTACTGCTTTGCTCTTCTCAGGAGCTATCTAGGTCTTTTTTGGTACTGGTTTAGCCTTAACATGCTCTTTAGGCTTTCCTTTTCCTTTTGTAGGCATTTTATAACGATAACCACCTATTGAACCAACTGTATTTAATTATTACAGTGAAATAATTACAAATTCAGAAATTACTCATGGAAAAATATAGAATAATGTGCATAAATGACACTTTTAAATGCATAAAGTGACCCTTTTAACAGCACAAAGTAACCCTTTTAACATCACAAAGTGACCCTTTTAACAGCATAAAGTGACCCTTTTATATGCATAAAGTGACCCTTTTAACAACATAAAGTGACCCTTTTATATGCATAAAGTGACCCTTTTATATGCATAAAGTGACCCTTTTATATGCAAAAAGTGACCCTTTTAACTGAAAAAGTTACTCATTTAACAACATACAGTGACTCTTTTAACAGCATAAAGTCACCCTTTTAACATCATAAAGTGAACATTGTCAAAGCATATATATGACACATA